ACCAACAACCTCGTTACACGTTGAACACCGCACTGTGCCGAGATGGACTTCTGGAAGTTGCACTCGAAAGGAGAACGAGTTAACTATTGATTCTGAGCAACTCTCTGGATGAGAGCTCTAATCATAACTGTTATAGAGTCACACACATGAGGCTATTTCTTTCAACACGAACAGCTATTGGAGCAAAAATCAAAAGCTTGCTGCATTTTTAAAATCCGAAATATAATTACTCTCTTTCACTAAATGTATATATTCTCTTATCTTTCATACAATATAACCTCCTTTTTGATTGATTAACTTGATAATAATTTATTATTGAAATTATCTATCAAATCCAGCAATAAATAATTGCTTCAAAAAATCTAAATTATTCCTCGAAAAGGATTTTAATGTTAATGAGACGATTGAACGAAAATAATCTTTATGACACAGAGCCCAATTAGCTTTCACACAGGCAGTTCTAGTATATATCAGAAATCACGTTGGATAACCGAGAAATCTATAAAAAGACACTTCGAGTGAGCCGGGTAACACGATCTTCTCTCTCACGTGGATGTTTTTGCCCGTTTTAATCAGAAACGACGGGGCCGATAACGAACGGTTGCGTCATGAACGTGGCCTCTAGCTATGTCTTTTTCTCATTACCGGTATACCGTCTGTATCCCCTTCAGTCTGCTTTTTCCATTTTTCTTAGTCGTTGTCCTCACCTCCGCCACTATTTATGTTTTCTTTTCATTAACGCCGCGCTCGACACTGTTTCGCGCGTATTTCATTCGCCTCGCTACTGTTTCTCTTTTTCATCTGTTTTCGGCTGTGTTTCGACGAGAGAAGACAGCCGAAAAGGCAACATCCCTCCGAAGTAACGATCGACGATAAAAACATCAGCGATTAATATCGATCAATAAAACAACATAGTCTGAATGATGACTGTCAATTTTTAACTCCTCCATTCCCAACCGGTTCCCAATCGCGTCCGACCTTTTACTTTATTTGTGACAAGCAGACAGGAATAACTGTAAAACTCATCGAAAACATAAACTCCATTTAAACGCTTTTGCGAAATGTCATGCAACAGTAATTCATCAAGAAGAAAAATACAAAGTTTTCTGTTAGCGAATAAATATTTGATGCAAAATAAATTAACGGCGATAAACCAAACGGTCGGCTGTAATTGTTTGCGTAATTAACGGATCGTGTCGGTGAAGTCGCGACACATCCAATAAATTGCCCGCGCGATGTTTTAAAAGCGACAGCGATTGAGTCTAAAACAGATGCACTGTCGGCGCCGAGCTAACCATTTTTGTTAACGGGTCGGATAAATGTTTACTGTGCTCTATAACGGCGCTCGTGACCTAAAAATTTTATTGGTTATTACGAGTACGCGACACGTAAAGGCATTCGCAGGGCACAATACGGATGGTCCCCCTATCTCTGAACTATTCGGAAACGACGATGTCGTTTCTTTTTATGCGAAATCGATCCTGCTCCGTCACGTCAGCGATTCTTATCGTGAAATGTAGCACATACGATATAGATAAATAATATGATGAAGCAAATGGCAATTTTGCGGCGTAACGACTCCAAGAGATAAGAGTGACAATCAATATTTTTTCTGTAAGAAACAATTATGGTGTATTGGTGAAAGTAATCTATAAAAAAATCCTCAATTTTTTGCAGAATCCTAATATACTCTTTTATCATTTCATAACGTTACTCATTTTTAACGTTAAGTACTAACGTTGCAAATAATAGCAAAAATTAAATAAACGATATAATATTTTATCAGGAAAAGAAAAATAGAGAAAGAAGAAGAACTGATCGAACAATGTCAACTAACTTCGAAAGACATGAGAGATATTCTGAGCGTAAAAAAAACATTGATGTTCGCAATAACTCACAAACGATGTTTGCTAAGAACATTTTCGCGATCGGTTCGCGAATTCATCAATATGGCATGAATACTGTCTATTCAGGAGACGGTGTATTAAAGAAATTTATATGCGGTTGAACGCAGATACTTGAGAATGCAGTAAACAGCCAGACATAACTATAGATCGTCTTCTCGTTTCTGCCGGCACAATAATTGAATGGAGATGCAACAATATACTGCCACTATAAGTAATCTCTTCGCAATCTTCTCAAAAGCATAAAGTCTCTCCGTTACGGAATATAATCATTGCAATCATTTTTTAGCAGTTCTACAAAGAAAAAAAATCTAGAACTTTTATTGTCGCGATGCATACATCACCGGATTGCATATAATTATAAATGCAAATGCGAACTTTTATTTTTACTCATATGACTATTCAACTGTTATCGCACAAATCCAAATTGTTACACGCGTATCAAATACGCGCGGCATACATGCGCGTGCAACTTTCACCGATTATGCAATTTCCCTTCGTGGATTCTGACGAACGCATGGAGATAATTAAAATTGATAGGCCCGCGTTATGCACATTACGACCGATTCCCATCCAATAGACGAGTGTAACTCGCGCCATTTGACGAATCGAGCGTGAAATTAATTTTGCCATTAGTGCACTTTGACGCATATTATCGTGCCGCCGCAGTGGCACGCGCTCCCTCCGGCTCGCATCGCGTAGAATCGCCATACATCACAACGCTCATATGGAATGAATGCGTCCTACCGTAAGCAATTTTCGCCTGCAAATTGAGCTTGCACTCGTGCCGCGTCATGTACATGTAGGGCCGCGGCTCACCCGGACACCAGGGCACCGACGGACCGCAAACGCATTTGCCGGCGGCCGCCGTACTTCCGGCCTCGGCCGCCTCGGCTCCCTCGCCGACCAGATTGCAGCCGGGACCTGACATTATCGGCCCATGTGGACAGTGCCTCCTCCATCTGCCCGGGATCTCTGAAAAGCAGAAACATGACAAGTAAATACAAAATTGAATGCGCAAACTCTTCGATTAATCCTCATATTGAGTTTGCCAGACTGGTACATAAATTGTAAAATTTATGCTATTTAATTTGGATAGAATTTTTATATTTTTATCTATAACACCGATATCTAGCTGACCATTTTGCTTTAATGCATAACTGCAAAGGAAGATGCTAGATAAATGAATAAAAGAAACTTGGAACCACGGTATGAGAAGAAAAAATATTAAAAAATGCATAAAGAAGAAAAAATAATAGCCTTAGCAATTTTTATGTATTTTTTTTGGTTAATTAACTATATTGTTATTATTGTACTTTGTCGTTTTATTATATTATTTATTATATTTTGTATGAATATACATCATTATCATAGCGTGAATATTAATTAATCCATTGTTATTATCATAAATTAGTTAGCAATGTTTAATAGACTATACTGTAGAGATTTAAAAAGATTTGTTTCTCTCTTCAAACGAATAAAAAAATTGGATAGTAATGCAGTCTGAAAAAACGACGCGTCACGTTCCAGAATTTTTCTTTTATTTATTACAAGCTGGTCGTGAGTAATTGGTAGCAGCACAGCGATTGGATCCGAGATCACAGGAATCAACGAATGGAACATGCGCGTTCTGTGCCGGCTAAGCTGGTTTTATTATTCAACATGCAGCAGCGATTGTGCGGCTTTATTATTTATCGGTCGCGTGACGTTTGTATTCTTTTTTTCGCGCGCAATTGCTTGCGAGCGGCGCAATTTTTGGCAAATATAATTTACAAATTGGGATTAAACATGTTTGTGTCTAGTGTTCACATTATCGGCTCTTTTGTATCCACGATTTATCGCAAAACGCCACGCAACAGAGTCAATTTTATTTCGTGACAACGCTGCTATTAGATTGTCATTAAGTGCAGTCGAATGATGGGATTAAAAAGTTAATCTTGTCCGTGCGATGGCAGTAAATAATGTTCGAAATATTTATATAACATTAACCAGCGTGCTTTTTTCAGAAAAATGTACAACTTCGCCTGTCAAGCGTAATAACACATTGTTCGTACACTCAAATCTCTCCCGATCAATAACAACATTTACACTTGTAAGAGTCCGGATTATCATGCAGACGGCAGAGAGAAAAATTTTGTGCGAGAGAAAAATTTCACGCGAAATGCGAGGAAGTCGATGAGATTGCGCAAGGCGGAAGGGTACGAGTGTAATAGCGTGGTTAGAGAAAAATTTCAAGATCACGCATCCGTGGCGAATTCGCCGGCGGGGCAAATCGAGCATCGATAACGGCGCAATTACAAGACCGTCAACATCGCTAGACACCGCACATACATTGCTCGTCGTCATCGGGTCAAGGCGAGTGGTGGGTACACGGTTCCGCCGATACCCAAGGGAGTATAATGCGGTCGCCTAATGAGACGTGCTGTGTACCCGGACGACAAATTCGGATTCAATTGCGTATACTGTACCAGTCGCGCGCACGGCAGCCGAGAAGTACCGAGCAGGCGTTCAAGCGCTGAATCGTAGATATTTCGAAAGGAGAGAACAGCAATTAACCCCCTACCGCGTTGGCGTAAAATAAATTCACGGAAGATGGTAAAAAAGAGAGGGAACACGATACGAATAGAAATGGAATCGGAGCGATCAACCAACCGGATGGTGAATCGAGGCCGAGGCAACCGATTATTCGACACGAAAGGCGGTTACGACCTCTCGTGATAACTCGGTCTGTGGTGACCCCCTGCTCTCTCCGACAGTGCCGTTTCCGATCGATAAGTTTAATAATCCACAGGCGGGCTGCGCACAGAAAATCGAATTTGCCGATCGGTTTGCTCATCGGCCCTCCGGCCGATCGCCCTCCTAAATGCGAATTCATTTCGAGCTAATGGCTGGGAATGCGCTTCCATCTAATTGCCCACGAGTCGGCCAGATATGCGCTGCGAGTTGCGAGCGCAACCGAACCGTTGCGGCAATTTTCAATTAAGAAAATCGAGAATACCGTGCAGGGGAGTGTCTCAAGGTTGGGCCGCGACCGGACGCGCTCAAATTCACCGCGGAATTACGCTTCTCCTTCGAGATATCGCTTCGGCATTCCACTGATATACGCTTGTGTTCATTGACAAATTCGCTTAACCGTCCGATGCACTTCAGGAATTTAAATCATACATGTCCTTGTACATAACTCGCATACAATCCAGTATATATATATTTTTCATCGCGTGTGCAGCTTTACAAATATTGAATCATCAAACAGTTTAACTTTATGCATTTCACGTTACATTAAGCAAACAATATAAAAATTTAGGTATTATTAATATAAATCAAATAAATTTCCATGCCAAAGGTAATTGATTTTGCAAGAAAACATCAATGTGATTTTATATAAATATAACATTAATTATCTCCCTATTAAAAGGGCCCTGGTGGCAATTAATCAATTTATCACAGCGGCGCCATGTCTCCCCACGAAGAATGCAATTTGCTGATGAAAAATGCCGAGTCACCACTTTTGATGCAAATTCATTTCGAGTTAATGGACCGTGGACATGATGGCCAATTGGCCGTGACCGTTCAGGATGCACACATTTCCGCTTTTACGTACATTACACCGTCGATCTTTCCGGACACGAGCGCGACACGAAACTCGAGGAGTCAGAATGCACTTACAGTTGTACCGTGCAATCGGCTTATGCGCGGACGCATTTGCTCTCTGGACCCGGCGTCGGTAATCCATTAAATCGTCACTTTCATAATACGTCGAGACTTTTTACGTCCTTCTAAGCTTTCTTTAAAACGGAGGGATTTTACACGTGTAAAAAGATGCCCAAAACGGATTTTTAGCGGACTATAAAAGCGCGACATGTGCATAAAAATTTAACAACATTAATGAACGTTAATATCGTGAATATTAATATTAGGTAACTGATATTAATATGCATATTGTTCGTTGTCAAGTTTAACGATCGGAAAAGTGCAGAACATGACATAAACGCTCTTTAAAAATCCGATAATTTTTCAAAATTTTGCAACGCTCTGACTCGGCTGATATAATACATTATTTCGCATTATTACACGTAATGGAAATAAAAATGCGATATATACGGGCATACGTTAATTATTATTATTACTGCAGTGAGGAGCGTTAGCGGAATATTAACGCAATACATTTCGGACTTACTGCAAATAGCATTACTCCGGTAATGTTATCGAATAAATTTATAATTACGGAAAATAAAATTACCATTAGTTTATAAATAAATGCGCACTTTATGCGGGACTTACGTTATATTAATTTTCGATAATGGCAATACGATATGTTGCTTCGCATCAGTGCTAAGCCATCGCAAGCTCGCCGCTGAAATATTGCTGTAATGACAAGCGCGCTGTAATGAAACATTTCGCGCGCTCGTTACTGCAGTACGTAAACTCACACGGTTACATCGCGAGTCGTGCGAAACGCGACGGCGTAGCGTGCGCGCGGCGAAATGCAGATTTCCAGTTATCAAAGTAAACGAAGTTGTGAAAAATAATGGTGTTCCGCCCAGCCGCTAAGTAACTCGCCGACGAGAAACGAGGGGCAACTTAATCAACCGACGCGGGTGTATTAAGGGCGGCGGTAAAGAATCGCACGCTGTTGGAAAAACGTGAAACTACCGGGATGCAACGCTAGATTTCTATTTTTTTTTTTTTTTCACAAACCCCATCTGCATACGTAACGCGGAGGGATGACGCATCAGGATGCACCTTAGACGACAACGACAATATATTTTTCTACGCGAGTACATTCATTCATTTACATATATAAGATCGTAATTTCACTTACGCGAATAACAAAACTACGCACTACTTTATTGTGATTTATATAAATGAGAATAAAATTGTGTTTTGCTTTGTTCAATTAGTTTTTCAAATCTTTATCTGGAAGGAAAACAGTATTCACACTGATGTGAGCTGTATTTGCGTTGTTGAAGCTATATTTAAACGTAACGCGAAAACGCGAAAACAACCAGATTTTTCGACATGGTTTTGCAAGCTATTATATATGGCGCTATTATATGATATATGGACTGAAATTTTACCTAATCGTATTATTAAGAAAAAGATCCGGTTCTCTCACGCTCTATTCATCGATCTTAGAGTTTTTTTTTTTTTTCAATTTTATACTTCTCTTGATAGAGATGATACGCTTGATAGAGATCGCGCAATTTTTCTTTAACGACCACATCGGATCGGATAATAAAACCAAGTGTATGATAGAAATATATTTTTATCATTTTTAGTTCTGCTACTTCCCGAAAATATGGGTACATCCCGTCCGTGTCGCCGAAGCCTTCGAGTTGAAATACAAGATTCACGGGCCCAATGAAAGTGCTCCTAAAGCGTAAGTATTCGACTTCAATATTTTCTCGTCTTGCAATGCGGAACATAAAGTCGGTAGGTCATTCGTGCGCCTTTGCGAAAAGAGCAAGAACGTAACGCGGATCTTGAGATTTCTTGACCCGCGGCGTACATCCTCGCATTTCGATGTTTGTGCGAGACTACTTTTACGACTATTTCGTTAAATTGGATTTCGAGGATCTCCGAATGCCACAACAGAGTCCTATAACTCCAGAAATATAATCCAATCTCTTTTGTAATAAAAACAAGATCTAAAAGAATGACGTTCCGTGTGTCGTTTAAGTTCTTTTTCGAAAATACCTCTCATCAACAACACGAGTAACATACTTGATAAATAATTTAAAAATTTCCCTCCTTTTAGAAAGTTTTATCTTAATTGAAGATGGAAGAAAGCAAATAAATGTAAATTTATTCCAAGCTTATTCAGTCACCGCTGAAGAATATACGTTTTTAATAATACTAGCTACAAAAAAAATAAATCTCTCAATAATACTGCGCTTATGTATTTTAGCTTAAAAAGGGGGAAAAAAACACTTTGCCCAGCCAAGCGCGTAAGCAAACCGAGTAAAAGAGGAGAGAAACTGCGGGTGGCAGTTGTTTCTGCAGTATGCGTAATGTATGATACTCGAGAAAATTATGGTACGTTTAATGGACGTACGACCAGCACGACCTCGTTGCAACGCGGTAATGTCGATGAAAACGGTATATCTCTTGTATGCATATACTTTTGACAGTGCATACTCGCGCTCTCAAGTACTTGCGAATACTTACGAGCGTCGCGTGCGCGCGCGCGCGCGCGCGGTTTAATTTTCTCTCAAACGCAATGATAGCGTCATTGCGCTGCGCGTTGTGTCGAGTGATCAATATTTACAATTATTTGCATGATAGAGTAGATACATAATACTACATAAGCGTACTTTCAACGTATCGAATTGATTTACAAAAGCAAGCAGAAGCGGCTTGATGGCGAATGGAAGCGCAGCTTTTGTAAACTAAATCAATCCGTTGAACTAGTGCTGGGTTAAGTGCTAATGCAACATTAAAGGTCTACTCGGCGCACTGAAAAGCGTTATATTTATATGTTGGGATCGTAATATAATATAAGCATTTACGTTATGATATCATATCATATCATATTATACGTATACCGTATAATAAAATACAAAATTTTGATAATATTGTGATTAGAACGATAAAAACAGTATTATCATGTACTATCAGTATTATGCTCTGATATTAACTATAAAGAGAATTGAATAATCACGCAATTGTCTGCGCATTTTTTTTTCAATTTACAAAGTAAGGTTTTCATATCACACAGTCAATTTCCGCGTTCCGTGCACGATTCTATCCCGTGTAATCCAGTTATTACAACTAGAAATACGAATTATATTTACAAAAGCAAACAAACATCAGGATTTTATATTTCAACACGTTCGTATTTGCATTCGTGATTGTCTTCTTCCACATAATTCCGCGGGTATCCCTGCCAATAGAATTTTCGTGCGAAGTTTCAGTGTACAGAGAGCGGTTATGCTTTCTCTTCTGTACACTACTAGTTTACAAATGCATTTTGCAGATACTCGTTTCGTTCCGGTATAACGCAGTGCAAGCATAATATCAAGCGTGGTAGTTTTTTTTTCTATGCAAAATCTTTTTCCATTTTTTACGCAAACGAAAGCTTGAAAGCAGTTTAACAATTCACGTGTTGTTCCCATAAAATTAACAAAATTTGATACGATATTAATTCGAGTAACGTTTTTTTTTATACACTTTGTATGTTTTTTTTATATATATACTTGCATTTAAAAGTGTGAACTCTTAACCTATTTTCTCACATGAAAATATTCAATTTTAAAAATAATGCAAGTTATTATTAGTTATTTTTGTAGAATAATTAAGATAATCTTGGTTTAATTGAAATCGAGCTGACATTGTGTACTCCAGTATGCGTTGTACGCGAAAAGCTTTTTGACTTTTGGATTCGTTATTTGAGGATTCAACAATTAACGCTCGTACGAGTATCAACGTTCGGCCTAATTTTCGCGGATACGAGCGTCGAGATCCTCTCGGGAGAACTGCTGCGTTGCATCCTAATTAACTAGTCGAAATCGAGGTTCACCTGGCGAACGTGGTTATGCGAGATTCGACCATTGCGAAATCGTCATTAAACAGCGACTATCCACGCTAATCTCGGTCATTCATCAATTTTCCGAGAGTACACTATCGGATTTCAGCGATTTCTAACAGATTTTACGGGTCTTTCATTATCGCGTAGTCAAACGGCGCGTGAAATATAGCTAGCACAAAATGTGCTTCGCGGAATTGTATATTCGCTCGGCTTACATTTAGTGGTGACTGGTAATCTGTAATAAATCTCGCGCACAAACCTACGCGTGTATTTATTCACTTATTACGAGCTTTCAGTCCGTAATCATTGCAATAATCGCTGCTAAATTAAAAACGATGGTATTTAATATGTTAGTTATAAAACGATAAATTATGTAACGAGTATTTGTAATCGGAATCAATGTAGCGTGCGACATCTGATACAATTATTTTGCAAAATGGGTCACATGCAATTTGTCGTACGGCTACACGCCCGCCGTGCGATGATATAACCGATTTATATTTCTCGAATTATATGCCCTCGATTTTTTTAATAAATAGCCGAATAACGAATTCCAACGTAAGCATTTTATAGATTGTTATTTTTCTTCGTTAAAAGGAGAGAGTTATTTTATCATTATCGATCTTGATATAGAATCGCTACATAAGAACAAATCTTTTCTCGCAGGTTATTCAAAGAACATTCTCATTTTATTCAAGAACACAATTCATTATTTACCTTTAATCACTCTCTATATTTCGTTCTCCGGCGCTTTCAATATCGCATAGTGCACACACTGGCGAACCTACGTATAATTTAGCAAGTAGGACGAACTGTCGTTCGTGAACTGCAATTATTGTTCCTGACAGAATACTTGGCGCTCACAAATGACGATGGCGTTCGCGTGAAGATTGCTCGCACTTTTTTTCCTGCTCGCAGCTGCACGGACTAGATTCTACACGCTTTTACGACGCAAAAATTGCAGTTTGTCCCGTTTTACCGCTCACCTATCAGCGTCCTATCAGATTTAAAATCCCGGCAATCCGTCCAGTTGCGCGCATGCAGGCCGTCCTTTCTCCCCCTCCCCGTTCCGCATGTCGTTGCATAACGCTCCATATGCGTCACGTTGCACATCCCGTGTCTCCTGCCAGCTCACGAATCGAGTAACCATCACACGGTTATCCGTTTCACGCACACGCGCCCGTAAAAATGTAATGCAGGTCAATGTGTAATACGGCGCGGCTTGGTGGAGCTCCAGCGGTTCGCGCGAAATAAAACAGCTAATCGATTGCACACCGGCGAGTCACGTATCACGAACGCGCCGAGACGTGGAACATCGAATCCTTGGCTTAAGGAACCCACCACGAGCACTAAATCCTCCATCCTTTTTCCGAGGAGGCAATCTTACAGTGTTAATGACCTGTCACTTACAGCAGTCTTGATTGCACCGCTGAATCAGACACATTATTTCATCTATATTTTGCGAGAATAAAACAAATAACAATTATCTCTTTATTTAGTTCGAGGGACGTCGTAAATAAAAGACTCTGGACGAGTATTAATATTTTGCGGAGCGCAGTTTGAAATTCAGGTTTTTCTTCAGCAAACCACATAACATTTTTGCTATTAATTGCAAACTGCAGAAACTAAAAACAATTAAATATGCGGACGCTGCTTTCCCTGCAACATGGGACGGCAATGTAAAAAGGGTCAGGTATTTCAGTAAAAATACGTAGTTACAATTATTGAGCATACGCGATGCCCGCGCGAGAGATAATAAAATTTTTTAATTAATATTTCCTAATAAAGAAGCAACCGTGTCTCACGCGCTGCAACGCGTTCCTCAGCTTTTCGAGAGAACGTGAGATTCTATTATTAGTTCCGGCACAAGGATTGCTCGTCTCGTCATTGAACCAGGAGGGCTTAATTCGAGGCAGGAAAATCCCTCGCGCGCTCCACCTAAGCAATATATATTTTATACATCGCGTACGTATACGCCGCTTGCCTGCAGGATGTAAAGCGAATCCTTGGCTTAAGCAGTACATGCCGCGGTACGTGCGAGCCCGCGACGCATTTATAGACTTTCCAGCAGCTTGCCTGTCGCGCACCGTTTCCACGGAACACGACGTAATGCACCGGTGGTAACAGTGGCCCGGTATTTCGCGGTTGCAACGGCAAAATAAACCAGCAGGAGCTTCCTTTGCCTCTGTTTTATATCCCACGACACTTTTATCTCGCGCTACGTACGTCAAGAACGTGACTATTTAACTTAACGGCAACGCGCATTACGAGACACTCGTATGTCGCCCACTCTGTTGTGCGCGCGAGATTTTTACCGATTAAAGAGTTGCGGTTGTCAGTTTCGCGTTTTGAGCTCGGAACAACAATAATCGGCGCTACCTTTACTCTCCGGAGCGATGTAAAATTTTATGACCGCGGCAATCCAAACATTTATCTGAATTTTTAATTAAAATAAAATTGCGCGAAGAGTAAAATTGTGCAAATAATAAAATTACATAATATATTGAGAATTCAATTAACAACATAAAACTCGATCATCGCGAATTATGACTACTTTCAATACTCTCACTGCCATTATCAAAACTTGACAAAACTAATTTATATCGTTGGTAACAAAAAATCATGGCTCATCATGACGCTACATCGCCCATTTCACGATACATCAACTTGTTCCGCGAATACATTATTCTCGCACAGTGCCGGGAAGTTGTTGCACGCTTCCGAATTTATGCGCTCTCCCGTCGGGCCCAATTTTTCAATCCGCGGTGCCGCGCGCCTTATCGCCCGGTCGCACGGCCGCCGCAATCCAGCTCCTCCGACTTATTTA